CCATATAACTCAGTTATTCTACTGCATAGAATATACCGAGGAAATAAGAACTGAGACACAAATGGAGATTTGTACATCAATGTTCATAGCAGTGTTATTCACCATAGCAAGACCATGGAAATGGCCCAAATGTCCAAACTCAATGGAATGGGTTGAGAAATTATGGCAGATTCACATGAAATACTATGCCACATGCAGGAACAATGAATTTGAAAATCACTACCTAAATTAGAAGGGACTGGAGAGTATTATGCTAAGCGAAGTCAGTCCCATAAGGACAGATACTGTATAAGAACATTATTGTAGAAATAAAAGATAACTAGTAAAATGTGTATGAGGATCTAAGGGAAGGAGTGAAGTAATTATGCTTCTGCTTCTGCTGCTGCTGTTGTTGTTGTTATGTGCCTTGGAGTCGCCTGCAACTCATAGTGACCTTAAGTACAACAGCCCTAAACCCTGCTCTATCCTGTGCCAATCTTATTGTCAGTGACACACCCACACCCATTACCCCATCACTGAACCAATCCATCTCTTCGAGGGTTTTCCTCTGCTATGCTGTCCCTTCACCCCCCAACTGTGACATCCCTCTCTAAGGAACGGTCCCTCCTTGCAACATTTCTGAAGTATGTCAGATGAAACTTCAGAATCCTTGCCTCCAAGGTCACACCTTCTCTAGGATGAACCTGCTTGCTCTCCTAGCAGCCTATGGAATATTCAGTACTCTTCAGCAGCACAGCTCATAGGGTCACAAAATGTGATGAGTAGAAAGAGGGGTGGATAAAGGAAATGGGAAAGATCCAGTGTGAAAAACAATGTATACAAACTTTGGAAGTAAACCATTAAAATTTTTTTATTAAAAAAAACCAAAACAAACAAAGAGCTAGAGGAGGAGAAAATTCTCAGCTCAATCACTAAAGAATCCAGGCTCCTATCGCAGCAACTCTACTGGTTGTTGGCACAGTCTCAGCAACCTTCATATTCTTGTTCTTTATTTTTTGTTTTTGGCTTGGGACTCGGCAGCTATGAATAAAAATGTTGTGACAGTGTGGTTCTCATCTAACTTAACCAGAAAAATTTTACAGACCAACTTGCATGATGACACCCAACCAATCGAGCCTATCACAGATGTATGTGTGTGATATAAAGTCACTGGGTCTGACCCTCTTCATTGCACTGTGGTTATTTTAGGTCGAGACACCATCAGCTTTAACCTGGGTAACTTTCCTCAGAAGATGCATCCACTCCTGCTCCTGTTGGCCTTTCACCTTCTTTCTGGATCTATAGCAGGTGAGTGACCCTCTACATCCTAGGAACATCAGCCTATTTCCCTAAATCACTTGTACTCCTAGCCCTTCTGTCCAGTGCTAGTAAGGAATTCCTTCCATGTAATCCAGAAACTTTATAGATACCAGCTTTCATATCAAACCCAAACTAAGCAGTCTCATAATGGACAGATGTTCTGGAAGGATGGCTAGACACCCTGGACACTGTCTTAGGTGTTAGACTATCCTGGATTTTTGTCAAATTTTCCCAGCTTACATGAAATCACAACAGGCCTGCCACCACTTAAAGTCTTACTAGGTAGTGGTTTTCCCCTAGCTTCTCGTGATTCCCTGGGAATCAGATTATTCTTACAAAGACATTTGGCAGAAAATATGAAGGTAAGTAACTAAAATCCCTTTTAACATGCCAAGAACCTAAACAACAATTCATTGCTAATAAGTAAGAACCAATTCACAGTTTACTCTCCACCAGGTTTTCAAAGCCTCTAAATTGCACAGGAGGAGTTTTCCCATCCTTCTCCTTTGGAGCAGCTGGTGGGTTCAAACTGAGGATATCTGGGTTGACAGGCCAACTTCTTACCGACTCCGCAATCCCAGGAAAATGAAGCTAAAACAGAAAGAATTAGGGTATTTTTGTTGTTTTAGGTATAGCCGAGCTTGTTTTGCAATGTACAATAAAAGGAAACACCTCCAGGTCCTATGCTATTTTACAACAATTGCTATCATGCTTAAGCTTATTATGAGACTCAAAGTCAAAGTTTTTGCTGTGTACTTGAAATCAACTCCTACCTGATCCTCCTAGGCATTTTCAATGCTGTAAATTACATGTGAAGAGACCACCCTGTCTTTCTCCCAAGGAGACTCAGATAGATTTGGATGGCCAGTGGTGTGCAACCTCAGGGTTAACAGCACAACTCTTTTCACTCTGTGGCTCCAGAGATGTGCATAGTTAGGCTGTTGATTTTATTATAGTGCTATTGTTAGGTGCCTCCAAGTTCAATATCATTCATAACAACCCTACGAATAATAATTCTGAACCCTGGCCTATCCTGTTCCATCATCATAAACTGTGATACATTTGAGCACGTTGTCATCATCACACAAATTGACCCCATTGAGAGTCTTTCTCTCCTTTTCTGGCCCTCTACCTTTCTAAGTATGTATGATGTCCCTCTCCTTGAAATAGCTTTTCCTAGCAACATGCCCAAAGTATGTGAGATTAAGCTTTGTTCCCTTGCTTCCAAGGATCACTATATCCACATTTTATCCAAGACATATCTGTTCAATCTTTTGGCAGTCCAACATTATACCTCAAGGCATTTATTGTCCTTCTGTCATCATTATAGATTTTCTAGTTTTCAGATGCATAGCAAATGATTTGAAAGACAATGGCCTGAATCAGGCCCAGCTTATTCTTCAAACTGACTTCATTGCTCCTTAATAATTTAAAGAGACTTTGACAGCTGGCTTGTTCAAAGTAATATGTCTTCTGATCTCCTGGTTGCTGGTACCAAGGGTGTTGATGGTGATCCAAGTAAGATGAATTAGTTGACCACTTCAATCCTTCTCCACCTATCAATGTTGATTCTTAGTGTGGTGGTCAGGAATTTCCTCTTATGATGTTGAAATACAGTACATATTTAAGTCTGTGGTCTTTGACCTTCTGCACCAAGTGGTTCAGATCCTTCTCCCCTGTAGCTAGCAAGGCTGTGTCATTTACATAACAGAGGTTGGTCCCCCATTATTCTTAATAGAGTCCAGCTTTTTGAATGATTTGCTGAGCATACATATTGAATAGATATGGAGAAAAGATACAATGCTGACATACACCTTTCTTATATAAACCATTCAGTGTTTCCTTGCTTTATTTGAACAACAGTTTCTTGGTCTAGATATAGGTTTCATATTAGCAAAATTATAAATGTTCTGGAATTTTCATTCTTCAATATTAGCCGTAATTAGTTAGATCACACAGTCAAATGCTTTCGTATAATCAATAAAACACAAATAGACAGGGCTTTCTGAGGAGGAGTGTGGCATCAAGATTGGAGGAAGACTCATTAACAACCCACAATATGCAGAAGACACAACCTTGTTTGCTGAAACTGAAGAAGACCTGAGGCACTTGCTGCAAAAGGTCAAGGACTCTAGTCTTCAATATGGCTAGAAGCTCAATATCAAGAAGACAAAGATTCTCACCACTAGGCCAACTGGCAGCATCATATTAGATGGAGAAGAGATTGAGGTTGTTAGCAGTTACAGCTTGCTTGGATCCACAATCAGAGATTGAAGTTGTGAGCAGTTACAGTCAACATTCTTCACACCAGCAGTCAGGAAATCAAAAGACAAATTGCATTGGGAAAATCTGTCGTCATGGATTTCTCCAGTATGCTGAAGAGTAGTGATGTCAGTCTAGATACAAAGGTCCATGATCTTCTCAATTACTTGCTTTGCTTCTGAGAGCTGGACAATGACTAAGGGTGACAGAGAAGAAAAGATGCCTTCAAGTTGTTGTGCTGGAGAAGAGTCTTTTCTAAAATTCTAATTCTATAACGTCCCACAGACTGCCAAGAAAACAATTAGGTCTCTCTTGGAGAGGGTAAAACCAAGTATTGCTTTGGAGGCTAGGTTGTTGAAGCTCTGTCTCACTTACTTTTGGCATTTGGCCAGGAGAGATGAATCATTGGAGAAAGACATCATGCTCAGAAGGGTGGATAGACAGCACAGGTGAGGGAGACCTCAGAAGAGATGGATTGATACAGTAACTGAGGAAATAGGCATTAGTGTATCAGAATTAGTGAGACTGGCTCAGGATGGGGAAGCGTTCTGAACTACTGTACATAGGTTGCTATACATTGCAGGTGACTCAAAGGCACATAACAACAATAACATACTATAACAGGTTTGGAAGTAGGAGTGGCATCCACTTCCTAAATAACATGCCTCTGGAAACTCTATAAACTTTGATAAATGTCTATTGTTGTAGAAGGTCTCAGACCTTTTGTTCATGGGGTGGCTATGGGACATGCTCGACTCGAAGCCAATAATCATCATCATCATCAACAACAAAAACATTTGTGATATTACAGTAGTGGTGTCAAAATCATTTCAGTGTCTTTGACTTTATTCTCCAGGCTCAGTGCTCAATCCTGACCAGGAGAGAAATTCAAGATGTAATTTATCTCAAAGAATTTATATTGTCCAAACTCCTTTATAGTCTATTTCTAGTTAGCTTCTCTGCCTCCTCTGCCTCCTCAGGCTTTGGTTACGCCACTGTCATTGCAGTCAACATTCCTGACAGTCCTTTGACTCCCACCAATATAATCCATACCAAAGCTCATTCAAAGGCTTATTGGGAGTGGTTCAATGATATAATCATAAAAAGATTTACTGTAGTTCCAAGAGGAAGTAGGCTCTGAAAAGTCCAAAACTTTTCTAAAATTCTAATTCTATAAGCATAAGGGCACATTATTACAAAATACCACAAACTTAGCAGAGGCTCAGCAAGTCAGGAAACAAACACAGACTAGTCCAAGGATTCTTATCAAGGATGCTTCAAGATGACTCTGCCATTTTAAAGATAACATATGGAACCCTCTATCCATGTGCCTAATGTGGGCTGCCTGGAACAAGCACTGTTAGCTTTTAAGAGGGACTGTTTGAGATTTGACGGTAAGAATGGATCACTGTGCCAGAAACCTATGTTTCAGGAGAAGCATGGACTATCGGTCCCAGTATCTCCAGGGCAATGCTGACCCTTTCATCAACCTCAAGTAGGATGCCACAGTTACCTCACAATCCATGTTTTTATTTAAGAGGAGATCATTGGAGGTCATGTAGCAAAGCCCCATTCACATCCATATATGGCATTTTTTTAGTTTCAGTGGGAAGTGAAGAAGAGTTGTGGTGATATCCTTGAGTGAGAAGACTTTGTCCTGACAGGAGTTCACTGCAGGAGAAGATGAGGGGCAAATGTTACCAGGACTTCTATTTCCATATTTGCTCCTCAGGGGAGATCCTGCAGCTGTGTGTAACACAAGCCCAAGGGGTCTCATCAGAGGAACCATTAGTGAGCAGGATGAGGTGGTGAAAAGAAGGTCAACATGTAGCTTATGAAGGCAGAGGTTGGAGCAAGTGGGAAAGATCAGAGAGGTATCACACTGGTTGTTTTATGCGGATACTGCAGGTTGAAGCAGGTATAGATCAATTCATTTCATATGAACTAAGGACTAAAGGGATTTCCACAACTGCTCACCTCAGTGCTCTTCTTGAGAAGCCAAAGGCTCAAGCTCAAGGGCCCCTCCTTGCAGCATTTCCCCTCAGCACCAGCCCTACCCTGACTCAAGAATTATAACAATGCCTTTCAGTTGTGCATGGTGAACTTGAAGAAAAAGATGGCTTCCTTTAAGATGAGATTTAACACTAGCCTGGCCTGGCTCTGGGGACAATGATGTTTCAGGAATCTCTAGGATCTGAAAACTCTTGCTAGCAACAGGGGGATGCCTTCATTAGATCTGCTGGAATAACAGAACTGGAATTGACAAGCTGAAGATTCACTCTGGCCTGTAGGAGCTGACCTGGGGTGAATCAGAGAAGCAGGGATTCTTCTCCATGATTCTTTGGGGTTTTGCCAATTTGAACACAAGCTGTGTTCCCACCATCCATGTGTCTAACATGAGATGTCCAGAACAAGCACTACCATCTTTTAGGAGGGCCCATTGAGACTTGAAGGGAAGGGCAGGTTATCAAGCCTACAAGGATTGCTTTTGGGAGAGTCCAGGACAACTTGTCCCAATAACTACAGGGCAAAGCTGATCCTATCTTCAGTCATCAGGTAGGATGCCCACTCCTCCCATCTTCCATGTGGTGTGTTTTTTTTTCCCCTCAGAGGAGATCATTGGAGGTCATTAAGTACAGCCTCATTCACGTCCATACATGGCGCTTGTTGTGTTACTTCATGATAGTGAGTGGCAAATGTGTAGTGGTTTCCTTGTGGAAGAAGATATTGTCCTGACAGCAGCTCACTGCCTGGGGAGGTGAGGGGTGGAACCTCCAAGGACTCTTCATATTCCTACCACTCAGGGGAGCTACTTCATCTGGGTATAACACAGGCCCAAGCGTTCTCATCATCAGAACCATTTGAAAGTGGGATGAGATGGTGAAAAGTGAGTCAACATGTAACCCATGAGGTCAGAGAATGGGGCACGTAGAAAAGGTTAAGGAAGGACTGCACTGGCTATTTCAGGCAGACAGTGGATGTTGAGAGCAGGTATGGTCAAGTCATTTCATATGACCTGAGGGCAAAAGAGAATTCCACAAACACCTACAATGCTGCCAAGAATCCAAAGGTTCAGCAAACTCATAATGAAGGGTCCCCTCCTGTTGTGACCCTTTACTCTGTTTCTCTGGGAGAAATGGCAAATAAAGACACACAACACACAGACGAGACCAGACTTCAGCCACAACACAAACAACAGGACAAGGGCTCTAGCACCTAAGTCCTGCATTGCTTTATTATTTATACCTTTTAGAAACAAAGAGATAGTTCACAGAGAAATGGAAACTTTAAGGACTGCATCCTAGAGCCCCAATGGGACCCGTAAAGTAGAAACATTTTAATTTATCTCACAGGGCCCAATGGACTGGGATCTGAGTTCCCAGAAATCAGGACAATAGGCTTTTGACAAATAAACAATGAACAACATATTTTGCACAATTTACTTCTAAATAAAACTTGCTACAACTAATATGACTGCAACTGCCAGGAACAAAGGAGTATTCATTTATAGGGAAGAGTTACTTTATTGGGGCTAGAGTTTAGGACACCAAGTCCCTTGTCTGTGTGCAGAACTAGGGAGCAAGTCTCTTCCCACACTCTATCCTTAGGATAGGTGTCTGGAGGACATCTGTGTGCAGACTGTCCCCCAAGATGGCTGTGCATCGGCTCCATCACCCTCCCTCCAGCATTTCCCTCAGAAGCCACCCTAACCTTACCAGCTTTAGGGGTCCAGTTGTGAGAACCTCTTCTTTTCTCTCTGTACAGCCCCACAAATGTCATCTTGGGGTCTCATGATATTGCATTTCAAGAAAAGACACAGCAGAATATTCCTGTGAAAAAAGCCATCTGCCACCTGCAGCATAACAATGTGCCTTATGGCAATGGCATCATGATATTACAAGTGAGACACATTCCCTGTTGTTCCTGCTCCTTTGGGTTCAAGAACTTTCTTGACCCCTGCCTTTCTCATTCTGGATGCTTCAGTAATCTCAAGCCCTGGGGGCAGAAGGGATTAATTGCAGCTCATAAGGCTATGCAGGGCAGGAGGACCTCAATGACCAAGACTTTGTTCTTTCCTTCATCAGCTGAACACAAAGGCCCAACTGACTGCAGCTGTGGGCCTGCTCTCCTTATCTGGAGAAAGTGACCATGTGAGGCCTGGGCAGGTGTGCAGTGTGGCTGGCTGGGGCAATATCTCTATGAATAAACAAACAACCAAGCTGCATGAAGTGGATCTTATCATTCAGGAGGACTTCCAGTGTGAGAGCCACTATGTGAATTATAACAGGACCTCTCAGTTGTGCGTGGGAGACCCTCAGAAAAAGATGTGTTCCTTTAAGGTGAGATTTAGCACTAGCCTGGCCTTGCTCTGGAGAGAAGGCTGTTTCAGGAAGACCTCAGATGTAAAGGTCTTAAATAGCAATAGGGGGAATGCCTTCACCCACTTTTCTGAGTACCAAACTACCTGGTCAATCAGGCCTCTATGAGTCTCACAGAGGTAAGTCAGAAATGCGCTCCCCCAGAAAAATGAACTTGTCATTCCTTATTCTATCCCAAAGGGATAGGTGTCCTAGTGATAGAAAGCATCACTGTTATCCCAAATGTGCTCCTCAGGAGAAAGACGGCCATCTCCTCCTGGGCAATTGATCATCTCTAAAATCTCACTGGAGGATCAGTTATGGGGCAGTTCATATTTGACAGCAAAAAAACAACAATAACATGTCACCTCAAACATCCCTAAGGCCAAAGAGTTTCTATTCAGCTTCTACCTTAAAGATTTGTGGTTTGAAGCTTCTCAAAGGTATTCCATAAACTTTATAGGGATGAAAACCCAATGAGCCGTTTGACTCTATAACATTTAGGATTACTATGAAATGAGATGTCCAAAACTGGTTTGAATTTTTTTTTTTATTTTTTATTTCATGTGGGGGAGGTAGAAAGGATTGCCCCACTCACCTAGAGCACACATACAAGGAAAAGCTCTCCCTCCACATTGAACAATCAAAGCCATGTAAATACTCAAGAGCTGTCATCACCCTGGTCAATGTACTGTCTTCCATTAACCTTCTGCTTTTCTTTAAACAGTAGCTTGGAAACAAAGCTCCACAGCTCCTTAGAAAGCAAGAGTCCTGAAGTTAGGGAAGGAGATAGACCACAACCTAGGCATGAAACAACAAAGATGTCAAGCATCAGATTTTGGCATGCTGGGGGTTCCCGGAGAGTTTGCTCCCAGATTGTAGAGGGAGGCAGGACCAGTAGAACAATTAACTCAGCCTTTCCTCTCTGTGTTCTCAGGGAGACTCTGGAGGTCCCTTGGTTTGCAGAAATGTGGCCCAGGGCATTGTCTCTAATGGAAGTGTAAAAGGAACACCCCCACGTATCTTCACCAAAATCTCCAGTTTCTTACCCTGGATAAAGAAAACAATAAAAGGCCTCCAACTGGAAGAATCACCCTGAGCCCCTCTATGCTTGATCATCTTCTCTTAATGTCAAGAACCTTAATAAATGTGTCTTAACTTCAAGGAAATGATTGTGTCTTTATTAGGCACTTGCCTATTTAGCAGAGAGCAATTCTTGATGAGGAAGCTCTGGAGACCTAGTGGGTAAGGAGTTTCACTGCCAAACCAAATGTAGGCAGTTCAATTCCACCAAATGCCCCAAGGAAGAAAGATGAACAATCACCTATGGTGTAATTTATACCCTCTGAAATCCCAGAGCTGTATTAGGTATGATTGAGTTCTGTCTTGAAGTCAATGGGATGCTGTCCTTTTTCAATTTCTTGCTTTGTTGGGCCATTTAAAACTCATTGAGGCACACCTAGAACATAATCATGTTCTGAATCATGTTCTTTTCCCTACTCTACATCTACAACTCATATGCAAGGAGTCAACCAGCTCTTTCGTATCTGTTGTATCTCTAAGGCTTGCCTTTCTGCAGGGCTAAGGCAGAACACCCTCAGTGGGACACCCAAGCCTCCCAGGTTCTATGCGCAGATGAACTGTTCAGCTCTGCTTCCTGTGCTATGTGGCAGAGAGCAAGGAGGGCCCACGGGGTTCAGGAAGACAAGCTGGTCCATCCTAAGGCTCTGGGAAGAACAAGAATAGAACATTTCTGCCTTATAATCAAGAAAACTGGCAGCTTTGAAGGGTGAGGACCTTGAGAACTTTCTCATTCCACCCTGGGAGTCAAATCCTTCCTTAGCTCCATGCCTTGTTCTGAACTCAGGGCCTAGTTCAGCATCCAGTCTCCTTGCTACCCTTTCTCTTTCATGTCTGTTATTACTGAGACTTCTCAAAGTCCAGCAGATCCTTTCTCTTGCAGACCACACAGTTCTGAGATAGACCCCTTTTCATGCCCCTAGCCTTGGAATTCCAGTTACCTGCGTGGTTCCAATAGGGCTCACAACTGAGCAGCCAGCCTCAGTCACACTGGCAGAGAAGGATCTTGGAGGAGCTCACACCAGGCAGGGCCATAAGAAGACTTGGTACAATAATGCTCCAGAAAGCTTGGCTGCAATTCTTACTGGGCAGAACTAACTCACACTCTTCAGTACTGCATCCAGCCCACTAGCAGTCACAAACTCTGAGATCTTTGACCACTTTATGACTCATTAGCCTGAATCCCTTTGAGCTTCTCTTTCTTTGTCACTAATGGCCTATAGGCTAATCATACTGGATGATAACTCAACTCATTGAAGTAGAGTCAGATCCAACACCACCTACCATGTGCTCTGTCAGTCTTTTGGGCTAGAAAGACTACCCATCGTGTAGTAGGACAATGAAACACAACTTTTGCCACCAATAAACCAGCAAATACATACTCAACCCTACTAAATGCTAGTATAGAAATGAACAAAACAGATCTATCGTCTGCACCCTAGAAAGGTGGGTTGGGTACTTTCAGTGGCTATGTCTATAAACTGTTCCTTTCTTTAATGAGTCCATGTGGCTTAGATATACATGGGACAGCTACAGAAAGAAAAGTTCCTTTTATTGCTGGCCACTCTTTCTATAAGTTGTCATATATAGCCCAAGAAGTACAGTTTTAGATTTGCAAACAATTGCGGTTCCTAGAAAGTTTCCAAACTATGTTCACTAAAGCAACTTCATCTAAAAGAGAAGGGAAATATTTTACTAATGGTACAGATTCACTTTATAGAAAAAACACACTTAGGTGTTGGTCTTGAAAGCATTAATATATGACACTTAGCATCCATCCTATTGATGTTGGGAGAAACAAAATTCTCATCATGAAGGCAAGCTGTGATCTAAACAGAACCAACATGAATGACATCATTATCATTACATGCATCTAGTTTGTAGATAAACCTGGCTTTCATTGTTGTTGTTGTTGATTGTGTTAAGTCTGAGAATTCCCACCTGAAAGATCACCAATCCACATGTGCAATCTGCAAGAGTGCTTTATACTGCAAGACAAAATCAAGCATGCAGAAGAACATGGTGACCCCAGGTGAGCACATGTAAACTTCTTTTATGTGTGTGATATAATGGAGCTGTTTGCTCAGGGTGGGGCAATTGGAACATGATTGATGGGCAAGGGGATCAGTTACATGAGCTAGTTTGTGATTGGTTTGTCTAGGTGACCACCCTGCCTATCCTCATCTCTTCCTGTCTCAAGCATACATTCCTGCCTGTGCCACATATATTTTCTTCTGTCTCACTTTTGTCATGTACTCACATTCTTGTGCTGTTTACCTTAAACTTTATGGTAGGTTAATCTTAAACTCTGCAAGGACAGATAGATAAGAGCTTCCTGGATTTCTGCTCTCCTGTGGTTTTTTTCTCTAAATTGGTTGCATCTTGAGTTAGAAATGTGTAGGGCCTGCTTCTGCTTCTGGAATTAATGAATTTTTTAAAAGGTTATGCCCAGGTCAGGCATTAGATGGAGGCCAGCCACAAAATGGAGTCTATATAGTTCTCTCTCAATTGCATTCCATTCCATCACTACTCATAACAACCCTAAGAACAAAAGGCCTGAAGCTCCTCAACAACCATTGACATTTATCAAAGTTCATAGAGTTTCCAGTGCTCTTTAGGGAGTGGATGCCTCTCCTGCTTCCAAGTTAGAAGGAATACTTGTCCTTATTTGATTAATCTCAACATATGTATTTATTACATCTCCCACTACATGAGTCTCCTTCCTCCTACACTCAGGCTCTGGCATCACATATTATTCACATTCCCTGTAATGATGCCTGATTTACCTTATAGAACTTTGTCAGCATGGAACTTATTACACTGGATGTCACCTAGGGGTTCTTGTCAAACATTTCAGCCCTCAAACCAGGTACCAAGGCAATGGTTTGGGTGAACATCCCTGTCACCACCGCACATGAACTTACACACCTTTTGTTAGACTGAAAAAAGTGTTGGGGGCAAGAGAGACAAAGAAAAAAGCAGGACTCATATAGCTGCCATGTGATCGCTAGAAGAGAGGATCAGAGTGGAGAGCAAGCAGACAAAAACAGGTTCCTTTTATAGGGGCTTTCAGGGACACCCAGAATGAGTGTTAGTTTGCTGAGGAATTTGGGGTAGGTACAGCAGTAATATTCTTCCTTCACTTCTTGTGTTGGAATGCCCTCAGAAAATGATACCTTATTGAATGTGCACACATTTTCATATCTCATGCAGGATGTCAGAGGCTCTGTGTGGTGAGGAGAGTATACACATAGAAGAAGGCCTGGGATAACACTTTCCTGATCCTGACCAGGCTCTGTACACCACTCTATGTCCCCAGGATTCTCCGCTCCCATGTCACTGTTGACATTATACTTTGATTCTTTATTTAGTATCTGTTGCTTTTAGAGAATTGGCATAAAAAATGTTTATAGTTTCCAAGAAATCACTTCAGTGTTACTAAAGTTGGTGGATGAAAAAAAACCCCCATCAACCTACAGCCCTGTGTTACCATCAGTATGGACTTTTTTCTTGATCTGTGTTCACCTTCCTTCCATTTCCTATAATCCATAATGCAAGTGTCCTGTGAGGTCCCAACAGGTATGTTCTTTTATCCTATTTCTCACAAGTACATTTGGGATGCAGGTCCACCTTCTGCCTCAAGCACAGGCTTGTGGAGGATGGAAGAAACAGGACGTATTTTCAGTTCTTTATGATATTATTATTTCCTGGGCTAGGATTCTCAGCTTTTCTCAACCTATCCTTTCATGGGTTCAGATTCCAGCAACTGAGAGGTCATTTGGCAGACTGTGGTCCTTCAGTTTGGGAAAGGTAGAGGGCCAGCGGTCAGTGGTCAGTGAAAAAGAATGAGACCCTTGACAAGATGAATAGATAGAGTAACTATAAAAATGCGTTAAAACATGGAAGGTCATGAGGATGGTGCAAAATACTGCAAGGTCCAGATCAGTTGTATTTAGAAATGCTATGAATCTTTGTCAGCTTGAAACCACATACTGTAATTTAAGCACACTTCCCTCATTTTTTCTCCTTTTTTAAAATCAATTTTAATGAAAGTTTACAGAGACATAGTATTTCCAATTATTCATTGTTGAACTTTTCTCCCTGCCCACCCCCTCTGCCCAATTCACTTTTCTCCTTGAAAAGTAAAAGAAAAACACTTTCATTGTTATGCAATCCCTCCCCCCAAGTTGTCTGGAGAGGCCGGTTTCTACAGAGGTTTGTTTTCTGGTTCTGGTGAGGCTTGGGAGGGAATGTTCGCTTCTATTGATCACACATTCTTCTAAGTGGTATAGCACTGGTTTGTCCTTCTGCTGTACAGAGGTAACTCATGGTTGCTCTCATGCTAAACACTGTGACACTGATGTGTCAAATGCAATAATGGTTACCCATGGTGGACACTATTTTGTAGAGCACCTTGATTATAAAAGGCTTGGAAGCAGGAATGGCATCCACTTCTAATTTAGCTTGCCCCCAGAAACTGAATGTGGAGAAAGGATGAAAGTTATACAATTGTTCAGGTCTTTCATTCATAGGGTTGCTATAAGTCATCTATGATTCAACAGCGTTTAACAACAACAATGCGGGTCAGGAAGAAAGATCACAGAGATAAAGGGTCATTTTCATTAAATAATATTAGGCATATTATCACTGGTTTAATGCGTCTCCCAATATATGTGAATATAGTGATATCTTGTTGAAGCTATATAATGATTCTCCATTATCTGATAAACCAAATAGTTATAGCAGGATTCAGGGTGAAATGCCCTGTCCTTAATCCATTTATTATCATAATATATGTATGTATGGAATCAGAGTTCCCTGAGACTACGATAAAGAATATACCTTATTTCAGAGATATAAGAGTAGTAGAAAGTAAACTAAGAGGGGAAAAGAAATAATTGCAAAGACCACAGTGTGTGTTTTGGGAACCAGGTCCCTGGATGATAAAACTCCTTGACACAAGTGAAGGCCAAACTACATGATAGTCTCCACAGGAATAGTCATTGACTTGGGGTATCT